TTTTCGCGGCAGTGGATCGTGACTACGGTCGTGTGGTTTTTTTTTGTTATTCCATTGATCCATGAATAAAAAAAATGACGTCATCAGGATAATATCGCTATATCCGATATTTTTTTCACGATATGCCAATTTAAAAATAAATGGATATCGAACAGGCTTACCGTCTGTGCGTTTATATTTGGAGTATTGTGAAGAAAGCTATTTCAATCTCGGACATTTTGATCATGTTATCGCCATATCGCCGATATTGTGGAAAAAAAATATCGACTACAAAAAAATCAGTATCGTCAGCTCTAGGGGCCATGCCACGTTAGGGGACATCAACAATGTACATGTGTACATTTCTAGTTCATTAACTCTAACTCCTGGGGCTCTTTTACTAGAAAGTATCCTGAATCCGCCGAAATCCCCCAATTTTGTCACAAAAAAATGTTGGTATCCCGAGTCCATCAGAATCCCCCAGTGTGGATACTGGAGGTATCCTGAATCCGCCAAAGTCCACCAGCAAAAGTCTCGATGGATTATTCTGGCGGATTCAGGATACCTTGGTGGCATAAAAAAAAATACATGTTTTTTCATAGAGTCTTCAAAATCCATCACCTAAATTTCTGGTGGATTTTGACGGATTCAGGATACCATGCTCGCATGAAAATTGTGATGTGTGTTGTTGCATAGGATCCATAAAAATACACCAATGCATGGCGACCCCAGCACTGCATTGCCAGGATAGGTTATTTACATAATCCATTGTGTATATGCTGAGGCCTATAGCCCCAGTCACAAGCTCCCATCCACCCAGTAGGCCTACATGTACATGTATGTACATGTTTGTACAGTAGGTGACACTGACAGACTTGGCAGGGCTAGTGCAAGCAGTATTACTTGACCACAAACATTGCAAAAGAGTTAAACTGTTGAGATCCTGAATCCATCAAAGTCCCCCAACAGCTCAAAATAGAGGTATCCTGAATCCATCAAAATCCGCCAGTTCCGCTAGGCTTCCAATCCTGAATCCATCAAAATCCCCCAGTTTGTTCAATATGGAGGTATCCTGAATCCGCCGAAATCCCCCAAATCAGGGGGGTGGATTTTGATGGATTCAGGTACGTTAGTGTTAAATTATAGAAAAGCTGTGAAAAATGGAAACATTTACACTGTGATGTTTTAGCAGTACCTCAAAATGTGTTTCCAATATATAGGGCCAATGGTTTTCCGCGATCGCGGAAAACGGACGGAATTCACGGAATCTGTTCCTCGAAACGGAAAACGGAATTTGAATCTGAAGAAAATAACTTCTGCAATTTTATTGATGAAAAAATCATAATTTCGTTAAATTTATTGAGTCCACAACAAATTATTGATGATTGATTGAACAGACGAGTCATATAACAAAGGAGCGGTGTTTAGGGTAAACTGGGGTAAAAACGCCCACTTGACTTGTTTCCACTGCTAGTAAAAAATGACAAGATGAATTGTTCAATGGAATATATTTTTAATAAGTACACTGTAGATAAAAACTAATAATAACAAGAATTAAATTCATTAACATATCTGAAGGGTACATAGGTGCTGTTGAAAAAAATATTTAAAAAAAAGTTTGAAAAAATGGCCGTCGAAGGTTTAGCCTATATCGCTTAAAATTATTTTATAAAAAAAAGTATTTTATATTTGTATTATTCTTTAGTTGATATATATTAAGAAGGGTTAATTACATAATTATAAATGATTAAAATATTAAAATCTATTTTAATATTTGCTTAATAATGTTTATTTGAGTGGGCGTTTTTACCCCGGGCAAAATCAGGGGTCTCGGGGTAAAAACGCCCAGTACTTTCCTTGACCTCAAACTCTAATGAAGCCTCATTTATCTTCAAAAACCTCGCTGTTAGAACTTTCTACAGCATTATGTTTGTTGTATGAGTAAGTATTAGCTATTAGAGTCCTACCACATAAATATTAAACAGTGTATTGTGTGAAGTTGGGAGGTACAATGTACATGTAGGCCGTATAACTAACTGACGTTACGTATAGTGGCAAGGAATCTGGCATTTGTTTAGTCTATGTAATAGACCCATGGCAAATGCCATGGGTCTATGATATGTGAGCAGATTCGCTGATTAATTAGGCAAGACCCCGCCTCTTGACCTCCTAGATTTTGACCAATCATTGGGCGCTTTCTATATTGGGTTTTCCTTCATTCACCCATTGCACGTCATAGACAATGGATTAAAAAGCCCTGCGTCACGCACTCTGTTATCATGTTACGCGATAACGCGCCTGGCTGTTGTTGCATTACAAAACACTGCATTCGAATTGACCAATCAAACTTTTACCGGTAGTCCTGATTTGGGAATGCAATGACGTTTAGTAAAGTCGACTCCAATTGGCTGAGGCGTGAGATCGCATAAATCTGCACGCTTTGATATATCAGACGTTAGACAGGAGTCTGGGCTCCGTGGATAACGTACTCAGACTAGCATTTGTTAGGGAATGCCCGAGAAATCATGAGCTCATGGCATTTTCTCAAGAAAAAAATAATAACACCTCTATGGTGATTTCAGTGTACTTTTAATAAGTAAAAATGACTAGAAATGGTTCTAAGACCCAACTAGACTGGTTTCTGCTCTCATGCTCTAATAGCAGAGCTTCATCAGTAGTACGCCAAAACCAGTATTTTATATTCGGCTAAATTAGTCGTGTCAAATGTTAGAGTGCATAGATACACATAAGTGCATCTAATAACATTTTTGTGAACCTTGTAATGAGTCCAATTCCTGGTTATTGATAAATCTTGATTTGACAAGTACACCTTCAAGATTTTTGGCCTTATATAGGCAGTAATTGGTTCGCTGGGAAATGGATTGCATGATTTCAGGTGTTCTGGAATTAAATGCCAGTCTTTCAGCAATACTTTTGTTAGCCGCTGGGTTTTGATGAGTGGTGTGTAGGTGATCTTGAAGACTAGAGGTGGTTCTTTTGGTCGTGTTTCATTCATGATGTATTGCTCACAGATTTCAAATTGTACGTCTTTTATGATCAGTTGGTTACAGAGTAGAAGTTTCTCCATCATGTCCACGAACACATTTCTTTTCTCTAAGAACTCTGTCTCGTTGTTACAGAAATGTGCGTATCCTAGTACCGTAGTTCTCCTTTGATAAAGCCTTAGGTTATCAGCAGAAGGCTAGAAACATACATACATGCCTAATAACGTGGAACTATGATTTGGCTAAACAAGATTGAAATAGATTTTTCAATACAAGTTTGTTATGGGCGAATTATGTACGCTAATGTTCCGCTTCCTTCCACATAAAAATACCTGTTTCAAATGATCAAGTTTGTAGATATAATTAACCAGTTGTGTTTGAAAAGTTATTTGTATTTGATGAAGTATCCCTCAATATTAAATTAATTAGAAAAATATGACTATACTACAGGGAAGCCTGTGGTATAGCCATTTTTTTTTTATAAATGTGGGCGGGCGTTTTTACCCCGAGGCCCGGGTAAAAACGCCCGCCAAACTTCCTCCCGAAAAGGGGGGAAAATTTCCCCCTATCAATATTATGACCATGATATTATATTTGCACCTGATAGAGGAGACATGTATTGCATAAAACCACACATTTATTTCCTGGTGTCTCCAAGTAGTACTGAGATATTTAACAAAAACTTAAAAATCGGGCGTTTTTACCCCAGTTTACCCTATATCACGATTTTTGTGGATGAAAAAACGTTCAAGACCAGAGCAATATTTGTTGTGAGATCATTACCGTAGTAGGCGTAGTCATGGGAGTGACAGACCCGATGTACACCGAAGGTGTCGGTCTGCGCACGGCCGTGCACGGGTGAAAATCATCACACTCACGGTACGCTCTCGCGGGTCTCTTTTGCTCCATCGGCAGGTTTATTTTTCTCCGATCAATCAATCAACCATTCGTATAACATCTAACTTTGGCTCTATTCAAATGCACGGTGTGCTTAGGTCTAAAAATCTACTGCAAACTATCCTATTTTGTCGCTAACGTTAGGGCGAAAACAAAATGGCGGACATGAATTTCGCTTCGGCCAGCTGATGTGTGTGACGTCATGGGATTGGCGTATACGGCTACTGCATGTTTCTTACGTGTGTGGTGGTGGCGGTGCAGTACACATCTTCACTGTGGTGAAGTTAAATACTACGTCTGTACATTGATCAGCAGTTGATAAAATAGCAATTATTGGGGGGGGGGGGCAATTTTCCCGCGTTCCAGCCAAACGACTATTTCATTATTGTCTTGGAATTATTTTCTGTGTACATGGTAAATGTTTAAATGCCTTTTTATGTATTGAATAAATGTGAAACGGAATTTTTCAGCCTGAAACGGAATTTAGGATTCTTGAAAACGGAATTTGCACTTTTCTGAAACGGAAAAACATTGGCCCTAAATATATATTAAATGTGACTCGTGATTTGGACTCGTGATTTGGACTCAACCTTTGTGACTCGTGACTCGACCTTTGTGACTCGGACTCGACCTGTATGACTCGGGGCTAGTACTCGGATTTGGGAGAGGTGACTCGGACTCGATGTTTGGTAATACAAATACAAGTCTGCTGGATACCCTTAAGCAGTGCTTGCATTGGACTTTTTTTATGAAACCAATAAATAAGTCCAGTGCGAACAGCTTGGGAAAGTGTCCCTTGGTTACTTCTCATGGGGTAGGTTACTCTCTCACAGGTTACTTTTACCAGCCAACTTTGCTCAGTAAAACCGACCAGGTATTTCATATTTGTGAACAATGTTCCATAATGTCTTACATACATGTATGTTACGATAAACAAGGATACGGTAGTATGGCTGATCCAAATGCCTGTTTTTTTTGTGAGTGTAAAGTCCGATGCCAACACTAGTAAGACTTCACCATTGGAATTTTACCATCACCTCAGTAAAACCCCACCAACAAGTCTAGTGGAAAGCATGGCTTCAGTTTCTATTGACTAGGCATTTGAAATGATGTACTCACCAATGACCAAACAAATGTCCACACTTCAAAGAAGCAAGCCGATGTTCACCATAGTTGGTCCACGGCTCATAACAAATGATACATGATTGCTGTGGGATAAACAGTTGCGAAATTCAGCACATGTGTAAATTAATCAAATGTTAATCATAAATGAGAGCAATCTAAAAACTGCGTTGCTGCAGCCAACTCTAGCATGTCTTTTCTCAAGTTGTGGATGACAAATTTATGAAAATGTGCTTAAAGGATTGCTGTGCATGTAAGACCAAGTTTACTGCAGACCAAAGCGGATTCATGCATAGCTTACAAGAACATCATTAAAAATTTTACAAACTCACTGAATCTTCATCACTTTCAACAGCTGCAGCACTTTTTGAGGCTGGAGTGGTTTTCTTTGGTGATTTGAAGTCAATCGCACAATCATGTGTGGGGGCTGCACTGGACAATGATGCCCGTGATTCATTTGCCACCTGTGTAGGTCCAGCTGCAGGTGCCACGTGTGCAGATTCCACATGTGCAGAGCTAGCTGCAGGCACCACCTGTGCAGACCCAGCTGCAGGTGTCATCTGCACAGATCCAGCTGTATGTGCCATCGGTGCAGAGCCAGCTACAGTTGCCACATGTGCAGTTCCAGCTGCAGGTGCCATCTGTACAGGCCCAACTGTGGGTGCAGACCCACTTGCAGAAACAGATGTGTGTTCTGTATGTGGCACAGGGGCAGACCTTTCGAGTGTTTGTGTAGGAGCACTTTCAGAAGTCACAAGATCTGGTACTGCATTTACTGGTTCGATGATATGGGTGGCTTGTATTTGAGCTGCAGCAAGTGCAGGAGTAGGCTGCGAGGCTTCAGGTGCAAAGATCGCAGATACACCATCGACAGCATGAACTTCCATAGGCTCATCGTCTGTGTCACTCTCTTCAATGACAACTGTGTCACTATCATTGTCACTCTCTGTGTCTTCGTCATACTCTGGCGGAACAATTACTCTTCTCCTTTGATGATCTACCCGTGGTTCCAGCTGGCCTGTCATGACAATTGATGCACTTGCTTGTCCAGGCAACAAGTTAGTCAGATCTATCGTTATTGGATGTCGAGCTTCTTCCTCCTCATCAAGTGAGTCTAGAACCATACGACGGCGGTGGTGAGGAGCATGGATCACATCTGAGGCCTCTTCATCCTCCTGAGATGCTGGATGGGTTGTGCGGGGCTCCATATGGATAGCCTCAGATACTGTGTCTGGCTTTAACACTAAATGGTTAGGTGTCCTGACTATATGTGTGTATCTTGGAGTAGATACATTAGTTGGTACACACTAGCCGATTGGCTGGAAGGTTTTGTATTCTTGACAATGCAACTGTTTAATCAATCAAGACGACAAAGCTTTTCATGATACATGTACAGGTAGGTATCTGTGGTCTCACTGCTGCAACACCGTTCACGATGACAGTTTAAAGGTTACTGTCCAGTGTATACCATTGTCACATTCACAGTTAGTGTATTCACTCCTCATATACATCTGGGGAGCCTAAAATAGAAAGAGAAAATGATGTGTTAATCATATAATATACGCAAGTTGCCTGCATGCATGGCTGGACCACACAACATACTGTACATGCAACCTGTAGACTCTACGCATAGTATTCAGAGTATACAGACATATTCTTGGCTTGGTAAAGAACCTTTTTTAACCCTAGTCCTGCCAGACGCAACACAGTGCATCCGGTGGAAAAGAACTGGTGCACTTTGATGCATTCAGCTAACAACACCAGTGCGTGAATGGCCAGCGCTGAAACAATGAGAGCTAAGTCCCATTGAGCAATGCCACAGTTGTATCCTGCTGTATGTGGCAGTGTGACCTCGAGACTTTTTCCCTGATGAATCTTGCTACATGTACATTTTTCTTGGGTTTTTCTCCATAACCATATCGTAAATAGCGCCCTCTTTTGGCTTATGGAGCGAATATTGAATGATAGCACAGTGGTACTGTATTAAGTTAACTTTTTCAAAATATTGCGCGGCGCAACCGCGATCTCAGACTTGAAATCAAGTCTAGAGTGAGGCTGGTTTCTGGCAATCGAGTCTAACGCGGATGTGTACATACATGTACATGTGCGAATTCGCAGCGCGTGGCGACTATTTGTCAACCACTGGTCGATTTTGCCTGGTACCCAATATGTATTTCGTGCATGGGTTACCATGGAAAATCGACTAGTGGTTGTCAAATAGTCAGTCGCGGCTCGCCGCTCGAACGTGGTGTAAGAAACACCTCCACGATCGCAATGCTTTTGACGGCGGTCTTCATAATCTTCTTTTAATTAAATAAAAGGTTTTTATTTATATTTTATTTCATTTATCATTTCTATATCCATTAACATGTAATACTTCATAAACTGTTCACTTGTAGATGTAACAATTACATAAATACAATTTGTCAATTATATTTATAAAAATCGTATTTCAATGAAGTATAAGCGTAGAGTCGTATTCACGGCTCAAATTCGTACATGCTACGCCCAAATCGTGTATGTTGGCATCTCTGTATTAGTGCGTTAGAATTTTACAACACACCGGCACAGCTGCGTTCTGTGCCACTCACACAGTACGCGCGCGTCAAATAAGGAGTTGTTTACCACTACTCCCGAGACTTGACATACCATGATATGTCCCGAAAAACATGAAGTAGGGTAAGAGGGGGTATTTTCGACCGTAGGGAGAATCCGACCACTTGCTATTAATCATAAAACCTTGAGTCTGACTAGGGCTGATGCTATGCTGCAAACATAGCAAGTACATGATCATGTCATGATGAGTGATTATGGTTGAGATTTCACGCTCTCATCTGAGTACTCTAGGCAGTGCCAGTTTTCCTTATCTGGTCAAATAAGGTGTTTCACAGTAATAGGTGCCATCTTCTTCACGGGGCAAAAAGAAAACGCATTGCTAGACGCGGGCGCATTTTGGAATGACCGCATGATGACTTGGAAGCGCCAAAGTTTTCTATTGACGATGCGTACACAGCAACGCATGTAAAATTGCCCCGTCGGCAAGATTGTGCATATTACCGTGAAACACCTTATTCTCCCCCTTCACAATCTGTTTTCCAGTAAGTGCGGCCGACCGATAGTTACTGAGCAAAAACCTTGAGTCTGACTTGAGTTGATTGCTATGCTGCAAACATTGCAAGCAAATGATCATTTCATGATCATATCGCATGAATTCACAGAAAGCCTAACAAGTAAGTGATTAACCTGTAGGACAAAATTATACATGGTTATATGTCGCGGATCAAAAATAAATGACATCGAGTCTTTAGTAATGAGTGATTATGGTTTAAGATTTCACTCACTAATTTACTCTAGGCAGTGCCAGTTTTCCTTAAGTGGTCAAATACTCCCCCTTTTACCCTATACTTGTTGAACAAAATCGTTGGAAATTCATAATCTTTGACTTGTTTTGATTTTTGGACAGAAATTTTTTAGTTTTTTTAAAAGAAAAGGTAGGCCTATTTATGAATGGGGATCATATGAAATATGTGCTTGGCCGGTATACACTGGCCTAGGCCTAAGGGACAAAGGCCTAGTGGAGAAAATGATGATCAGAATTTGTCTACTTTACAGAAATTCTTAAATGCTCACTTGGGGAGATTTTCCGAGATTTGTTCAAGTGCGCCATGATCGATGATAGGCATGATAGGGTAGGGAGCACCCGTCGATTTTGCTCGCATTGCCAGTGCCACTGTATGTTTACGGATCCAGCATTCCGAGTCGAGTTGGCAAACGGTCAGAAAAATCGGCGATTGTGTACTTCCCCTGTTTAGTTTCGATATAATTAGTGTCAAGGGTGTTTTTTATTACTAAAAAATGACCTTTTCAACCTAAAGCAGACTTCTCTCAATATACACATGATATAATGACACTTTTTTGTAATTTTTGAACAGTTTCTTGGGGTAGAAATTCAGCTTTTTCAGCGTGCCTTGCGCGCTGATGGTACATTGCGCAGTGATCGCCATCTTTAATTTTGTGTCGCGTTTTGTCGTTGTCATCGTAATTTTACTCCCAAATTTCCCTCAAAAATTTAAAACCCTGCCCTTTATCTATGACATACACATTCTTAATGTCGCCAACTAGTTTGGTAGGTCAAATAATTTAAAAGTGGATCTTGTTCCCTTATAGGAACTGGACATTTTATTTTGGTAATTTTTAAACAGTTTCTTGGGGTAGAAATTACAATTTTCCTACGCGGTTTACGATTGGTGCCGTGTGAATGTTATCGCATTCACGGTTAATCACTGATCACGTGGTAATCACCATCTTTAAAGCTATAGTCCATCATTTGCACCCATCCGAAAAGTAACTGGCGTAATTATTGTTGAAAAACATACTTGGTTGAAAGATAGTAAGTGGACTAAACTCCCTGTGAAATAATTCTTTCTGGCAAGCTGTCATTTTGAAGTAATCAACGAAAGAAGGCATTTCCAACAGTGCATCTTAAGACGCACCGTAGGGAATTTAAATTAGTAGTTCGTTTTGTTATTCGGCGAAGCGCGCGCAAGCATTGGCACAACGCACACGCACTTGCAACATCACGTACAGCTGCAATTCAAAACATGATTCAGCAACTTTTTGATTTGAAATTGAGATCATAGAATGCTGTTTTTCTCGAAATATACAGCTGAAGCTGAGCTGAAACTTCATCAGGTTAGTTGTTCAGTATCCTCTATTAGATTTTGAACCACTTTTGTTGCTTCAAACGAACAAAATGCACAAATTACAAATGATGGACTATATCATTAATTTTCGTGTTGCGTTTTGTCATTGTCATCGACGTCATTTTACCCCCAAATTTCCCTCAAGAATTTAAAACCCTGCCCTTTATCTATGAAAAACATGCATGTTCTTAAAGCCAGAGTCCATCATTTGCAGCTATCCCAAAAGTAGTCCTAGTAACTTGGACCCAACTTATCGCCTTTTTAACACTCGGACATGGTCTGGCGATAGTAGGGTCCAAGCTAATCCGTATATGCTGAGCAACACAAGAAATTGTCATTGACCCAAAAACCCAACATTGCCCAACAAAAACATTAGATTTCACCCTCAAAACGGCCTCCAAATTACTAGATACGCTACCTGAGGGACAAGTAGACATCGATAATTAGGATGGTTGTACTGAAGTTTACTTACGATCCTGATGAAAAGTTAAATTTCCCGTTCAATTCCGAGAGCTCCCCTCGCGATCGTGAACACGTTAGGGGAGTCAGGTTGGCGTAGGGGTACTTTCCTCGCCTTCCACCGCTGCGACCCGGGTTCGAGTCCCGCCTGGGCCAATACGTGGATTGGGTTTTCAGTCCCTGCCTGATTCCGTGGGTTTTCCCCAGAATATTCTTCTGGGCTTTTCCTCCCACCTCTAAAACTGTAAATTCTTCTCATTGTCTTCTCTCCACAGGTTTCTTCAGGCTTGCGAGCTACAGTGCCTAGGGCGCTTTTGAGGAATCCTTGGTTTCATTATCAGAAATGATTAATAATAATAATAATAATAAATTTCCGATTCGTGTTTGAATATCGAATTGAGATGTGGTCTTCATGCCCAGCGTTCACGTTACTTGATGGTCCCCGTATTCCGAGTGCGATTCCGTTACCGAGCGCGCGATGCATCGATTATGATAATGAGTAGACTGGATCACGTTTGTAAACACCAGTACATTTTAAACGATAATAGGGAGTCGGGAACTAGGGCAGATTTAATGGACGGAAACCAGTTCAAGCTAGTTCCCGACTCCCTATTATCGTTCGAAATGCACTTGTGTTTACAAACGTGATCCAGTCTACTCATTATCATAATCAATGCATCGCGCGCGCTCGGTAACGGAATCGCACTCAGAATACAGGGACCATCGAGTGAACCCTGGGCATGAAGACCACATCGTGTCGTTCAAACATTAACACAAGTCGGAAATTGAACGTGTGCACAATCGCAAGGGGAGCTCTCGGAATTGAACGGGAAATTTCACTTTTCATCTGGATCGTAAGTAAACTTCAGTACTAGGCCTACCATCTGAATTATCGATGTCTACTTGTCCCTCAGGTAGCGTATCTAGTAATTTGGAGGCCGTTTTGAGGGTGAAATCTAATGTTTTTGTTGGGCAATGTTGGGTTTTTGGGTCAAGGACAAAATTGTGTTGCTCGGCATATATACGGATTAGCTTGGACCCTATTAACCCTTACTCTCTGAGGGTAGTTTACTGCATGTCAGTTGGTTATGCCAATGCCCTCCAGCTGCAGTTTATTGGAGGATAAACTATCTTGACTGTGAAGGCTCCAATTGGCAGGAGTTGGAGGCCCTGGAGGGTGCCTGATACTGACCAGCTGGGGGCACTCACTTTGTTATCAGAGGACTCTCATTGTTCTCTGTGGCATGTATTGGAGTGCCTGTCCAGTTACCCTTGAAATGACATGGCAGATATTGGAGGGCCATGCAAAAAACATAGGAGATTTTCTTGAGGCACATATTGGCATGCGTTGGAGGGTCTAGTAGGGTAAGGGTTAAAGGGAAAATACAACATTTGCAAACATCAAAAAAAAAAACTACCAAATCATTTTGAAATACCTTGCTGGACTGTTAGTGAATGACAGTGTAAAGCATCCTGTAAAATCATGGCACCTGGTATACCGTCATTTTCAAGAAAAGTGGTATTTTTGTATCAATTTCCAACGCTGATCGGCCGACCAGCGTTGGAAAAAACTGGCTTTTTTTCAAATACTGGCCCCAGTTGACCATCGCACTTGTTTGCAATCGATTACACACCTATGAACGGGTACAAGCCAGCTAGACTCGTTCCCTGACCTTACAATTCCCCAATGTATGTAAACTGCTCTGTTTCTTCTTAAATGGAGTCAGGGAACCAGACTACAGGAAAATGATTGTTTTTCTTGGTTTTTATAGCATTTTCGAACCCAAAACCTCAAAAAAGTCAGTGTAACTATATTTGCTATATGTTTCCAACCCCCCAATTCCATCCATTTCTGAAAATTACAGCAAAAGCAAATGATGTATATTCCCTTTAATTATCGCCAGACCATGTCCAAATGTTACAAAGGCATGTCCAAGTTACTTGGACTATCCCAAAAGTAACTGGCGTAATTATTGTTGAAAAACATACTTGGTTGAAAGAAAGTAAGGGGACTAAACTCCCTGTGAAATTATTCTTTCTGGCAAGCTGTTATTTTGAAGAAGTCAAAGAATGAAGGCCTTTCCAACGGTGCGTCTTAAGAAGCACTGTCATGACCGTTGGAAATTTCCGTTAGTAGTTGGGTTTTTTTATTCGGCAAAGCGCGCGCAAGTGTTGACACAATGCACACGCTCGCGCAGTTGCTATAATTCGTCGGATCGGTGCGCGACATCGCGTAGCTGCAATCTGCTCAGTGAGAATGTGTCTCGGACGCTGAATTCAGGCCCAATTCAAAACATGATTCAGCAACTTTTAATTTGAAATCGAGATCCTAGAATGTTGTTTTTCTCAAAATATACAGCTGAAGCTGGGCTGAAAATTCATCAGGTTAGTTGTTCAGCACCCTTCTTTAAATTTTCAGCACTTTTGACTTTTGTTGCTTCAAACGAACAAAATGCACAAATAACAAATGATGGACTACCTTTAAAGGGAAAATACAACATTTGCAAACATCAAAAACTAAAACTACCAAATCATTTTGAAATACCTTGCTGGACTGTTAGTGAATGACAGTGTAAAGCATCCTGTAAAATCATGGCACCTGGTATACTGTCATTTTCAAGAAAAGTGGTATTTTTGTATCAATTTCCAACGCTGGTCGGCCGACCAGCGTTGGAAAACACTGGCTTTTTTTTCAAATACTGGCCCCAATTGACCATCGCACTTGTTTGCAATCGATTACACACCTATGAACGGGTACAAGCCAGCTAGACTGGTTCCCTGACCTTACAATTCCCCAATGTATGTAAACTGCTCCGTTTCTTCTTATATGGAGTCAGGGAACCAGACTACAGGAAAATGATTGTTTTTCTTGGTTTTTATAGCATTTTCGAACCCAAAACCTAAAAAAAGTCAGTGTAACTATATTTGCTATATATTTCCAACCCCCCAATTCCATCCATTTCTGAAAATTACAGCAAAAGCAAATGATGTATATTCCCTTTAAATATCGCCAACTAGTTTGGTACTCATGGTAGGTCAAATAATTTAAAAAGTGGATTTTGTCTCCTTATAAAATATTACTGGAACCGGGCCCGTAGACGTGTTCCTGCATCGCCGAAAAATCGGCCTACGGCCGGCGGCCCGCCCTACAGTATCCTCGACCCTCCATTATCTGCGCAGGTATTAAACGATTGCATACGCGTGCGCGTTGACACACTCAAATTGAAGGTAGGCCTACATGTAGGATGGAACGCCGTATTATCGCGGTACTTATCACGTTTCTCGTTCGGAAAAGAGATTGCCCAATAACCTTCCAGAATTGTCCTGTCTTATGTGTAGTATAACTCTTCCTTTTTAAATTAATATAAAAAAATCTGACGGGTGGTGTGGTTTATTCCGTGTACGATGCCTGTGAAAATAGACATGCGCGGCGTGTGCGAACGGAGGTGGACTCCCTATTATCGCGGTATGCGGGAAGTGGTTTTTATAATGATCCCAACTTTTTTGTTCATAGTTTATGTTTGACCAAAACACCCCCTGAATAAAGTCTGATATTTTTCCTGTAACGTTCAAGTTGATTAAAGACAAAATGTCTGCAGGATGATTTCTTAAGACCCTGCCCTTCCCCCGAAAGGAGAACACAAATCCCTGAGGCAAGTCTACTGATCGGCGATTGAGGGCGCCATTCACTTTACACGGTGTGCCGTTTTATTTTCGCTAACGCGCGATGCTTATTTTGATCCCGTAAAAGTTGTTACAATTTCGCGCTGCAAATATCGTCGTTCGACTTCATTTTACATTTGCAGCTGAAGAATGGGAACCAGACAATGGAACTTTCATTGACAGAGCGCAATTAAAGATTTATGTTAAAATATAAACGGTACCTTTTAGCAGACACGGTGAGGGAAAATTTTGCAAGTTTTGGAAAACGTTAATATTTATTAAAATCGTTAAAAGTCCCGAAAGACACAACATTTTTTAATCGTCCTTTTTATACAACTCGGTAGAAAATCCTTGATGACTGGTGAACTGGATAAAAATCGCCACTTGAACATGTTGAAACTGTAAAAAGAGAAATTTCCCATGCCGCGATAATAGGGATGCCGCGATAATAGGGAGTCCGACTATACATGTACTACTCACTAGCATGACTAGTGACTAGGTAGGCCTAGGCCTAGGGCCTAGGCCTAAATGCGTAGAAAAAGGACCGCGTAGCTTAGGAGGTCTGACAAATGGAAAGATTTCCATATACGAAGTTCACTCAACACTCTGTGTACAAATGAGAGTGGACTGAAAAATTCTAAGTGTTTTCTAAGAAAATGCTTGTATTTTCTCACTGCTCAAAATCAAATTGACTTTGATGACATCTACATCTACATCTACGCGGGTACTCAGCAAAGTCCACTTCTGGATGTTAACGCTGAGGTGAAGTTTAAGGTGCATGCGAAGCAGGGGGAAGCTTGTGCAGAAGAAAAATTTAAGTGCGAGTAAAAAAAGCTCCAATCTTGGAGCTACTTGGCAGAGATGTGTGCCCTGAAGACGTCCACTGGTGGAACTGTGATGACGTCTGCAGGAAGGGCATTCCAGAGCCGGACTGCTGTAGGCATGAAATTGCTATCTTGGGGCTTGTTAGTCACCACAGAGGTAATCCTTATCTTTAGGACACCTCTATTTTTTACCAGTTCTGTTCAAAACTGACTTTTGCAGATGACTGTCCAGTACCAAAGTGACTTTTGCAGGCTAAAGCAGTCTTTTTTCTTCAGATAAATTCATGTTAGTTGTAATTTTGAAAGCACTTTCAAAGAAAATGTGACTTTCCTACCCTTTTTTGCAGTTTGCCATCTTGGTTTTTGAGTCAGTTTCTGTTCGTCATCGTCGTCTTTCTCCCTTAATTTCCCTCTAAAATCAAAGCCCCGCAAGCCTTTTTCCACAAAATTAAACCTGCTGACATTCAAGAAGGTGTCATACTGTTCAGATATATGACAAGAAATATTAGAAATTAATAATAGAATGTCACTTTTGAGTGTCATTTAGTCAGCTCTTTTGGTGAGTCTGTTAACCTTAAGTTAAGTTATATAGGAATGTAGCTGGAGTTACCCAGCCCTGAGTTTTATCATTGGGTTGTCATCTAGGGCTGGAGCGCATTTTTCTCAAAACTTGTAGTATTTGCAAAAAAAATTTGGAAAATGTTCAATTTTGTCCCCGTTACACACTAATTGCAACTGCAACTCACCCCAAACTTGCCTGGAATAACCATTACACAGGTCCTTGAAGTAAAACACGATCCACGATGAAGATTCAGCCTACAATTGCAGTGAAAACAGGAGGAATAACCGCTAACTTGACAACCTTGCTGGATTGGCCAGGACCGCTATTGGTTTGTGCACAAAAAAAATTGTGTACAATGAATGGCGGTCGATTAACAGGCACAGAGAGCGATCGCTGTCAACTACTCGTTTTTGCCGGCTGCGCTGGCTGTTGGCGCATGACGTCACGCGGAAGCGTATGACCCGATGACTGTTTCATGCACTAGTATAAGGTTTACCACTCGCATCACAGCTTTGGTACTGGAACCGCAACCAATAGTGCATGAAACAGTCATCGGGTGTTACGCTTCCGCGTGACGTCATGCGCCAACAGCCAGCGCAGCCGGCAATGGCAAAACCGAGTAGTTGACAGCGATCGCTCTCTGTGCCTGTTAATCGACCGCCATTCATTGTACACAATTTTATTTGTGCACAAACCAATAGCGGTCCTGGCCAATCCAGCAAGGTTGTCAAGTTAGCGGTTATTCCTCCTGTTTTCACTGCAATTGTAGGCTGAATCTTCATCGTGGATCGTTTTTTACTTCAAGGACCTGTGTAATGGTTATTCCAGGCAAGTTTGGGGTGAGTTGCAGTTGCAATTAGTGTGTAACGGGGACAAAATTGAACATTTTCCAAATTTTTTTTGCAAATACTACAAGTTTTGAGAAAAATGCGCTCCAGCCCTAGATGACAACCCAATGATAAAACTCAGGGCTGGGTAACTCCAGCTAATAGGAATGGGGTCCTAAAAGTAAGGATTACCAATACAGAGGAAAGTAAGTGAACTTCGCATATGGTAATCTTGCCATCATGAATCATAAGCGTACACTGCTAAAAATATTGAAACCAAACTCCAAAGACTTCAATTCAAGTAAAATACAAACCGAAATTCCCTCCCGCCAAATGCTAGTTGATGTCGCCGGCCGGTGTCAATTAAAAATCCGACTCCTAAGAAAATCGGACTCCTTTTCCCTATTGGTGACAAGCCACGCTCTGTAGGTATTATTGATATGCTATTATCATATTTACGCATGCGCAATACTACCAATGAGTCCATATTTCATGGAGTCGGATATTCACGCTACACCGGCGGCCAGCCAGATTGGAGGTTTTTTTCAAACCTCGGCCCCGGTTCAGTTGCCTTCTCACAGGCTCCATAATCCTTTTAATGCTGTTGAAGTCTAATAAAACCATTTGAAAATATAAACATTGACTGCATGATATTATATGCTAGTTACTCATTATTGTTTTAGTAGAAGTGGAAAAAGGACCCGTGTACTAACCCGAAGTCTAGTCACGGACGTGCAAATCTCCTAGAGCCAAAGCTGCTTGGGAATGGCGCGGGGATGGTGAAGACAGAATTAGGCTGTACAGTCATTATAAAAGTAGGAAATTTAAAATTCTGAAAAAATACACATTATAGCGTAATAATAATAACGACAATCAAACGAAAGCTTTTTATTTATTTTCTCCGAAGTTTCTTTTTATAAATGTCAATAAAAAAAATTCCCGATCCCAGCTTGTCAATAAAAAAATGTCATGCTTGTGGATGAGGCTAAAACTAGTTCCAACATGGCGACCTCTACGTGGTATCCTTCTCAAAGTGCCAAGGACATGAAGGAGGTGAGAAAATTTGCTTTTCCATCCAATCTCTGCCTTTGATATTAGATGCAATTTTGTATGGTATAGTCGGACTCCCTATTATCGCGGCATCCCTATTATCGCGGCATGGGAAATTTCTCTTTTTACAGTGTCAAAACTCCTTCAACATGTTCAAGTGGCGATTTTTATCCAGTTCACCAGTCATCAAGGATTTTCTACCGAGTCGTATAAAAAGGACGATTAAAAAATGTTGTGTCTTTCGGGACTTTTAACGATTTTAATAAATATTAACGTTTTTCAAAACTTGCAAAATTTTCCCTCACCGTGTCTGCTAAAAAGGTACCGTTTATATTTTAACATAAATCTTTAATTGCGCTCTGTCCATGAAAGTTCCATTGTAATGAAGTCGAACGACGATATTTGATGCGCGAAATCGTAACAACTTTTACGGGATCAAAATAAGCACCGCGCGTTAGCGAAAATAAAACGGCACACCGTGTAAAGTGAATGGCGCCCTCAATCGCCGATCAGTAGACTTGCCTCAGGGATTTGTGTTCTCCTTTCGGGGGAAGGGCAGGGTCTTAAGAAATCATCCTGCAGACATTTTGTCTTTAACCCTTACTCTCTGAGGGTAGTTTACTGCATGTCAGTTGGTTATGCCAATGCCCTCCAGCTGCAGTTATTTGGCAGATAACAAGTCTTAACAGTGAAGGCTCCAATTGGCAGGAGTTGGAGGCCCTGGAGGGTGCCTGATACTGACCAGCTGGGGGCACTCACTTTGTTATCAGAGGACTCTCATTGTTCTCTGTGGCATGTATTGGAGTGCCTGTCCAGTTACCCTTGAAATGACATGGCAGATATTGGAGGGCCATGCAAAAAACATAGGAGATTTTCTTGAGGCACAATTGGCATGCATTGGAGGGTCAAGTAGGGTAAGGGTTAATCAACTTGAACGTTACAGGAAAAATATCAGACTTTATTCAGGGGGTGTTTTGGTCAAACATAAACTATGAACATAAAAGTTGGGATCATTATAAAAACCACTTCCCGCATACCGCGATAATAGGGAGTCCACCTCCGTTCGCACACGCCGCGCATGTCTATTGTCACAGGCATCGTACACGGAATAAACCACACCACCCGTCAGATTTTTTTATATTAATTTAAAAAGGAAGAGTTATACTACACATAAGACAGGACAATTCTGGAAGGTTAGTGGGCAATCTCTATTCCGAACGAGAAACGTGATAAGTACCGCGATAATACGGCGTTCCATCCTTCAACTATAGAATGCAGGGCCACTTCACTCTACATCCGCGCCTCCGTACGGCTGCGTGGAGGCGTGGAGCTGCAGTCGACCTACCTCTGAGAAATAAATGTGGCCTATTTACTGGACTGCCTCCGTAAACATAGGCCACACATCCACATGTACAAAAACGTGTCACTTTTTGCCAAATTTTGATTTTCACATTTAGGCTTAGTTTGAAGGTTTTTTTTGCTTTAAAAGCATACTCACCCTCTTTATAGGCTAATCAGAAAGTGCTGCCTTTTTCAGATGTCTAATTTTTGTGAAATTTCATGTTGAAATTTTGATACGCAAACGTGTAAAAATGAATCTGGAAATTTCACGACAAATATACATCTGAAAAAGGCAGCACTTTCTGATTAGCCTATAAAGAGGGTGAGTATGCTTCTAAAGCCCAAAAAACCTTCAAACTAAGCCTAAATGTCAAAATCAAAATTTGGCAAAAGCGACACGTTTTTGTACATGTGGATGTGTGGCCTATGTTTACGGAGGCAGTCCAGTAAATAGGCCACATTTATGGGGCTAAGAAATACCGTGCTGCCACTGGTGGAATCTACCTCCGAGAATTGTACCGTGCTGCATGGAGGCGTGGAGCCGCAGTCGACCTACCTCCGAGAATTGCGCCCTCAATCGGCGGCGCGCGTCTATGAAACTCCGTGCCTCCGCGTCTCCCTGACTCCGCGACTCAGCGCCTCCGCGACTCCAGTGCCCCGTCGCCCTCCTAGTCCTACCTTCCTTTGCGAGGAAATTAACAATGGATATGGATGCTTCGTTCTCTAAAAAATACCGCCTAGAATTGCGCCCTCTATCGGCGGCGCGCGTCTCTGCGACTCCGCGCCTCTGCGTCTCCTTGACTCCGCGACTCCCTGACTCCGCGCCTCCGCGTCTCCCTGACTCCGCGTCTCCCTGACTCCGCGCCTCCGCGTCTCCCTGACTCCGCGACTCCACGACTCCAGTGCCCCGTCGCCCTCCTACCTTCCTTTGCGAGGAAATTAACAATGGATATGGATGCTTCGTTCTCTAAAAAAATACCGCCGAGAATTGCGCCCTCTATCGGCGGCGCGCGTCTCTGCGACTCCGCGTCTCCCTGACTCCGCGACTCCCTGACTCCGCGTCTCCGCGACTCCAGTGCCCCGTCGCCCTCCTACCTTCCTTTGCGAGGAAATTAACAATGGATATGGATGCTTCGTTCTCTAAAAAAATACCGCCGAGAATTGCGCCCTCTATCGGCGGCGCGCGTCTCTGCGACTCCGCGCCTCCACGTCTCCAGCATGTCCAGTGCCCCGCGACTCGTCTCTGCGACTCCGCGGCTCCGCGACTCCGTGCCCCAACGTACAAGCGCCATCCCTTCCCATTCTGATCAAGTGCATTCGCTGTACTTAGCACTTTTTGCAGGTTTGCATATTCTTATATTGTAGCCTATTACTCCTATCCTCACATCGCCGGCCTCCATCCACGCCTCCAAGCAAAATAAAAAACCCTTGCTCCGGCGAGGCCCTGCATTCTATAGTTGCTCCTTTTGTATATTAATTACGGTAATCCTTACTTTTAGGACACCTCTTATTTCTACAAGTTCTGTTCAAAACTGACTTTTGTAGATAACTGTCCAGTAGGTCTAAGGTAGTCCGAGTAACTTGGACCCAACTTATCGCCTTTTTTAACATTTGGACATGGTCTGGCGATAGTAGGGTTCAAGCTAATACCGCGAGCTGGACAACACCGTACCAAAAAACCAACATTTTCCAACAAAAAACATCAGATTTCACCTTCAAAACGGCCTCCAAATTACTAGATATGCCACCTGAGGTACAAGTAGACATCGATGATTAAGATGGTTGTACTGAAGTTTGCTTACAATCCGGAAAAAAAGTGAAATTTTCCGTTCATTTCGGAGAGCTCCCCTCGCGATCTTGAACACGTTAAATTTCCGATCGTGTTTAATGTTTGAACGTCGCAATTTTTTCTTCATGCCCAGCGTACATTCGATGGTCCCCGTATCCCGAGTGCGATTCCGTTACCGAGCGCGCGCGACACATACAAACTTATCGCGGAAATTCACCTATGCAAATTGGGGTCAACACGCCCTGCTCCTAGAACTATGAGCCGCGGGGGGTACGGTACATGCACTTGTACGCATGAGCATACTATCATTTCGCTTGTACCGTACCCCCTCGCGGCGCGCTCCGAGCGAACCGCAAAATCATCGCTCGATCTTATGCGTGCACGTTTCAAGTGTCAGGTTGGCTCAGTGCGGAAAGGGCATATTTTTCATCATTTTGGCCTAAAAACCGACAGAATCCACCTATGTTAGTTCTGCGCATGATACGTGAGTATGTCAAGAGATAAAGTACGGAGTATAGGGGCAAACTGTGCAGTGGTTCTGTGTGAAATGTCTCCATTTTGATGGACGTTTTTGTACTTTATTAGTGTTTTGTGCTGCAGGCAATTTTGCGGGCTTCTTGATCTATGAGGCTCCGCTCACGCGGAGCCTCATAGTTCTAGGAGTAAACACGCCCCTCATTATGACGTCAACGTTGAGTTCGTGCTTGCGCTCATGCCATCAATTTCGGCCCGACTCGCTTCAGTTTTATGAATGAAATCATTATGCATCGGAGAGTGCACATGCCAAAAATTTACAGTAAAAAAGCTCATGATATCTGCTTTCTTTTGCCGAAGAAAGCGTCAAAATTGATGAACTATTGCTTGAGTTTTGACAGTTTAAACATTTTTTAGCGTTTTTTTTTTTATGAACCAAAACTTCTTATTTTTCGAGGGAGTCCATCTTTTTAATCCTGAATTTCTTCCTTCTCGAATTTGGTTTGGGAAAAACTGAATTAGTTCCATATAGAGCAGGTTTTCAGCTGTCCAATGGTGTGGCACATGTGGGTGGTCGGTCTGATACGGCGATGGTCGCGAGCAATATGCATACAAATTGCTCGCTAGAACTGCCCAAAATTGCGAATGATAGTGAAGTAAACACGTGATATAAACACGTGCAACGTGCAGGAGATATATATAGCTCAATGGAAGACGCATTACAAAGATTAAAGGGATCCCGTTTGTTTAAAGGGATCCCGTTTGATGAAATGTGTGTGTGTGTCTTTTTTTCTGTCCCTTTTACCCTGTATCCCAATGCGACGGGGTTGGGCGGTGGGTTGGGGTGGGGATGGCCCGCGGGTGGGGTGGGGGAGGGGGAGGGGGAGGGGATGGGGGGGGGGATGGGCCGGGGGAACAAAGACACGGCAGTGTTCTCCAACTTTGAAAATTAAAGGTTGGCGCTGGGGTCGGCGGGGACTCCTGCGAGCGCGGAGCGCGAAGCCCTTACGGCGTGGGGTCCGGGGCCCGCTTAAGGGCCCCGGGAAAATTTTGGATTCTAGATGCTCTGTGGTGCAATCTGAGGCGATTCTCCAGGCCAGTTCCCCCGATTTTTTTTAGCATTCAAAAATTTCCTTTTCAACCTAAAGCAGACTTCTCTCAGATCAAATGACACCTTTTTGTAATTTTGAAAAACAAAATGGGATACAAATTACGTTTTTTTCAACGCGATTTTATGGGTGGTGCCGGTGCCGTGCGATCGTCATCTTTATTTTCATGTTGCGTTTTGTCGTTGTCATCGTCATTTTCCCCCCAAATTTCCCTCTATTTATGACCTACCTGTATGTTCTCAAATGTCGCCAACTAGTTTGGTAAGTCAAATAAATTAAAAGTGGATTTT